TCCGACACCAACGCAAAAAGGCAACTTCATCGTCACATTTCAGCGCGGGCGCTAATAAAAAAGCGACTAAGTGAAAACTATTATTTTCGCATCATGGACATTTTTTACGATCCAAATTAAAGTTTCTAGTGAGTTTTTCCTTCGCTAATGACTTGTTCGAGTTAAGAGAGACAAGAAACGCTTTTGTGTCTGAAGTAAATTAGATATCTAGTTGGGAATCTTTTTGCTTTCTAGCAAAGGGAATTAGCTCGACAACCCTGTTTTGGTCAGGTTATAAATTGTACATTTCATACACAAGTCGAGGTACAAACAGACGCTTGCTTCAACAAAAACTTGTCTCCTACAGCCGTTTCAGGCGAAAACATGATGAGCTTATTAGGAAAGTTTTTGTTTACAGCGCGGAGTTCTAACCTTTCTTAACGTGGGTAACTAACTACATAATGTAATTCACTGAAGCTTTATATTTTACATAATGTGTTTAAACATAGTCCTAAAATAAAATCCATGTACTGTACAAATAAACTGCGGTCATAAATAGCGTAAGCTTAACAGAACGCCATCCGGAAAATTAATAATGCATGCACACTCAAAATCGCAACCCTTATGATGGCCTATATCGTTTTCCCCAGACATGTGCTACGAACATCTCCTTACATGTTTCTGGTATGAGTCAAACAGTCGATAATGCGACAGGAAATGTTTCAATGTGTTTCATGGAACAGTCGCCGGTTATTCCCAGCTGAGGCCGGAGCTGAGCACTCAACCTGCTCCGCGATACGTTTCCCGGTTTCGAATTCAATTCCATTCGTTCCGATCATCGGTTCGCATTGGAGATAAAAATCTAATTTGGGAAAACGTTGGCGTCAACAGTTTTTGGACAGCGCATGACATTTGAGATCGGTCGTTGCGATCGCAGCGGTGTGACGCTCAAAGATTGTAACGAGTATGGACATTGAAATGGGTATAACTACAGGAAAGTTAGTAAACCGCTCGGCTGTCATAAAAAGTTACACGATGCTGTACATGTTGCACGAGACAAGAATGAATACTTTAAATCTCCTAGGAGCTACTTTTCATGCGAGAAGGAAGTTAAGACAAACATCGAGTAGCTACACTTCGTTCTAGCGTTCAAGTTAACGCTGCGGCGAACTGGTGGAGTGAAATTATGTGAATTTCCAAAAGCCACCTGAATAAATAGTCGACTGTCAAATTTTCAGATAGAAACTCGGCAGTTTGAAGGCCGTTGTCGCTATAAATCATTAACAGATTGTCGGAATTGTGTTCGAGTCGAAATTAATTGATGGATATAACGACGTGAACTGTGTTCCATCGAGTTTTCTCGCTAACATTGTTTGATAATGTCGTTACAGGCTGTTAATGTATAGGTACTGCTATATTATTATTCAAAGGTTAGGTTAGGTTTTATTAATATATTATATTATTAATATGCATTTGGATATCGGGAAGATATGAAGCCAAATGTATCAAAAGAATGCCTTAACAAGAAATCATTTACAAAGCAAGATTTTAGGGAAAGAAATAGAAGGCGATATAAATATAAACAAAGCAGGACAAATATTAATTGTAACAGCATTGTGACCAAGGAAAATATAACCACGAGTGATGAATGATTCGAAACACCGCCCCTTGTCCTATTTCTTGTGTTTAAGTGAAAATCAATTGCACATTTACAATGTGCTAGGGACAACCATAATTTACCTTTAAAATGTTCGAATACATGGTAAGCAATAAAACGACAGTGCTATTGAACAAATCATAGTAGAGGTATAGTGTATCATGGTACCTACTTATTTGAAGATATTTGGTATTCAATCGTACTTTTTTATAATAGGTACTCTACTCTACGTATATTTGATTTGTATTTCTTAAATGGGAAAACCATACAACGACGAAAAACAAAATACAAATATACAAAGAGGACGCCCTCCGTATCAAATTCATCGTATTTAATTAGAATAGCTTGTAACAGCTACCTACATTTTCCCCGAAATATTCCAGAGGAATTTTATTTGCCTTCATTACGGTCGTATATCTACAATTTATCACGCAATACCTGGCTAATTTCATTTGGTCCTTTGTCACCAAATAGATTTAGAACCGTCCTAAATATAACTTGTGCCTAATTGAAACACTACCTTATTAAGGGCTTAAGCCTCGTGTTCACTGAGCAACAATTGACGCACAACCGAGTTCAACACCATTGGACAACATTGCGCGACGTTGTGGACGTGCAACATATGCCGCTTTATTTGTTTCGGTGCAACATACAGTTGAACATCAAATGTCATTGGGTGAAGTGACGTGCAACATTAGGCAACATAAAGGTCTCTGCACACAGCGGGCGCCACGCAGCGGGACGGGACGGCGACGCGACGGTAACCAACGGCTCTGTGCGGCGTCGTCCGTAATATCTAGTACTTACATTACAACTGCTCAATGTCGCGCCCGCTGTGTGTAGAGACCTTTAGTTGCTCTGGCGTTTACTATTTATTTTATGCTCTAGTGGTAGTAGACAGACAATGTTGCTAAACAAAAGTTCCGCGTTACTTGTCCTGTGTACAACTACATTTTTACAACTTGTCGCGCATTTAATGTTACCTAGTGGATACAAGGCTTTACACTGAGCTGATAAACAACCTACAACGGGTAGATAAAAACATAATTAACAGGAAAGCGTAGAGCCAACGCCATAAATAAAACCCGACTCAATATTAGAATATTAATCAAAGCATTACCTTGTACTAGGTTTATTAAACATACTAAAATGCTCTTTAATACTAAAAGCTTTATAAGTATTCAGTAAATAGTGGGAGGAAATGTATACTTTAATTAACATGTTTGTTGGCAATATGTTGACTTGAATATCTTAGATTCCGGTTATGGCTGATTCTTTGTAAAAATATCAGAATTCAGTTGTCACCCTTATGTTTAGAAGGACATATCTAATTTCAGCAAGAATTGAGTGATAAGTATTCAGTCATTTCAGTCAAGTCAACAGAGAAAAGGTCATTAAGTTCTATTTAATGAGCAGTTTTACAACATAAACAAAATCAACACAATAAATAGAAGTGTTGTATACAATACCTAGATCCTTAGGTACACCTACGCTTGTCTCCAAACTATTATTATCCCCATTATAGCCTCCCAAATGAAATTTAGATCAATTAACGTATTCACTTAACATGCCAAACGAGATTATAATTAATACATCAAACAATTAAGTAGTTAAACAACAGCTTGATAAAGTGACACGTAATCCGTCTACGCTTAATTGAACAGGACGTCTGACATTGTGAGTACAATAAAAAGACTCGTACTAAAAAGGTTGGACATTATATAAAACCTTAGATATAGAGGAGACCATTAATCACTTGAGAAAACTTAATTGGATAGCCGCGACAGACAGACACGCGAAGAACGAACGAAATAGTTGGGCATCTCTACTAATAAAAGAGTCTGGCTATTGGATTATTGCAGATTAGTTCTTTTACTTTGGGGCTTAGAGCTTAGAACCGCAAATACGCAATAAAGTCTACCCAAGTATGGCATGCAGTAACTACGTATGATGAATGGCATTTCAATGTTACAATTGCGTATTAAATCATTTTTATATGTGTCTATTGGCGAAAAGGAGTGTCAGACTCTTACTGACTAAAAATTACCTCGTTCCTAACCCGCTAAGTCCTCCGCGGCTACGTATCGGCATCAGGCCTATTAGGCCCCATCTAATAGCTCCTTGAGGTGCGCGCGGAACGCGACGCGCCGTACGCTCGGGTTTGACCTTGTCCACAAAGGGCGAATTCGCCGCGAAACGATTCGCGCATTAGTGAGATACTAGACAACAATACATCGCGTCCACAAGCATCGCGCGAATTCAAAATAGGCTCGTAAATCGCGGCAAATTCGCCTTTTCTGGACAAGCTCTTAGGTTCTGATCGAGCGGCGAGTCACCCGTGCTCGCCATCCGTGGCCCGTGCTTATGGTGGCCGGAAATCGTCTCGCAATCCCAGGCGCCCACAATATTATACCCCTAAACCCCTAAGTACCTATGTATGTATACCTGTAACGTCAACGTTTGGAACTAGTAACGCCATCTGTAGACCAACTTGAACTTTAACACATATAGGAGTTATTTCTTACGAATTATAAAAATATTATTTTTTAAATTATAAAATCAACAATTTACTATGAATGTAATGTTAAAAGCCTATCATGTTACCCATTTAAAAAAAATACGTAAAGAATGTAACGAATCCTAATCAGTAAATTCAAAGTACTTATTACCGAGAAGACAACAAGTTTTTGAGATGAAAATAAGTAAATAAGTACTAATGTTATCTTTGTCTATCTGATATTTTTTTCCTTTATTCAATAAAATCTTACTTCATACCTTTTTCTGTATAACAAAGAAAATTTAACTTAATTAGCTCTTTGGTTGCCAGAGACCATATTACTCGTCTAGACTACAACAAAGGCCTAATTATAATTAATTAACGAAAACGAAGTTAATTATAATTAATGGTTTTTGTAACCTTAGCGCCCCGTAGCGTAAGAAATGTCATGTCTCCTAAATCTTATGTGGTAGGTACAAAACAAAACAAACCATAAAGAAAGGTAATAGCGTTCTAATTGGATACGCTCGAAAACTTTGCCATAATGTGTGTCTTATATAATTACCTAAGAGTTTGTAAGTATATCATGAATCACGATTTTTGCCCAAGCCAACGTAACGTTTGCGGAACTACGCACGTTACCTTACCTACAGACCGACAGACCTTTTTATTGTTACGAAATCTTTTATAACCAGCATTAATTTTATTAAAATAAAATTAAACTGCACTTTCGGCGTCGTGTCTAGGTTCGATTTCAACTGATTCTGCGTAGATATGTTAAAATAGTTGTAAACTCATCTATAACCCAGGAAAACCGAAAAATCCTAGTCTCACGCAACGTCTTTACAAAGATAAAAATGGACTTACCTGTCCATGATTGACGAAGCCGTGCCTCCTAGCGATGTCATCGACGTGGTGCGAGCCAGCGGGCACGTGCACCGCGAACTGGTCGTGGTACACCGGCTCCGGGAGCGCAACGCACGCGTGCAGCGCCGCCAGCAGCGCCAGCGCGCGCCATGACGTCACCATGACAGTAACCACTACACTACACAATCACAACCGCATCTGCGACCCACCGACACAATAACAACCGCGCGTTCCAACTACTCAGTCCTTGTCATAAGGAACACCCACGCACTTTTATCAAACACTCCAACTAATTATTTCCCGAACGTCTTCAGTGTTGACCTAGTCGAACACTGTGTCATCCCACCTCGTTATACCTGCAACAAAAACGATTAAATTAGGCTTTCACGTCGAACAACTTAATTAAAAGGATCTCTGTAATTGTAATGTGTACCCACGCTTCCGAACACAAAAGGTGCTTGAGAGATATTAAATTTTAATAAAGAGTAACTCCCGCGGCGGGCTCCGCTCTTCATTTAGCATTATTTTTTACGTTCGAACGAACTCCATAAACATAAAGGGGAATTTAGGGTGCGATAAACATATTTGGCGAAGCGCGGGCGGCACCACGGCAAATCACGCGCCAGATAAAACGCAATAAGCGGACGCACAAACGCGAACAAGTTAAAAAAATCCGTGGGAAATCCCGAGATAATCCAGATAAGCCACGCGGGCAAAGTATGAAAAGCCTGACCGTGAATATATCAAAAATATTTATGAAATTTTATTTGAAAATTTATCTGACGTCCGTTACGAGTGAAAGCAAAACCTTTGAGCAAAATTCTTTGTGTCCCCTGCTACCGCACCGGTTTGCCTTTGTCGGCCTGTCTTTCTATTTTATAGCTGTCTTTGTGAATAAATTAAAAGGCACTGGAAAGATAAAATCGAGAACCATTTATTCCGTTAATTATCTTTTACCTGAACATTTCCCGTACCTAATAGGTTGAGCAAAAACGAAGTGACTGCATTAAAAGAAGGAGGTACATTTTCTCAAAGTAATCTTTGTAAGATCGCAGCAACTTTGTAGCACTCGTATAAGGCAACAAGTAATTCCACTCACAACTAAGCAAAGCTTTTTCTCACGTGTATTTCCACAAGTGCCCGAGGGTGCAATAAAAACAATTTAACTTGTTTACTTCTGACTTCGAAGCAGGCTAAAAACTGTCTCCGGAGACAATACTTAGTTGCTTTAAAATATTTACTTAAATTACATTTAAAAGTTTGTTGTTAAATATTCGCTTACTACACAAACTGCACTAGTTATGTGTATTAAATATAAAATGTGTTAAAGTAAAAACTTCTAGTCGTAGTAATATGGTTTACAATGCACTTAAGTGAAGTAAAAGAAAATATTGTTAATAATAATTGTCCAAATAATCAAGAGTAAAATATAATAGAAATCACTTCAAACATAAAAAAATTAAAAATTTAACTACCTAACCTCAAAATCTCGACATATTACATCGGTTGAAGATTTCAAAACAACTAACGCAAATTTGCACAAAAGATCTGCCAAAAGGCAAAATTACCCATATTTCAATATGAGAAATGACAACAAAGATAGCTTAACCTATTATACAACATATTAAACGACTATACATGCATACAGCAACAAGTCTGTTTCTCTTTGGGGTAGGTACTAAGCAAGACAATGAAAAATAAAAATTTTTGTTACAAATTTTAGATGGAATCTCTAAATTGATTTTAAGCCGCTTTCCAATAAAAACAATCCATCAATATGTACGGGAAACCGGTAAACATGTATCAAAACAAACACGTTAACGTAATATGTATGTATGTGAAATATTTAACAGAGTCAACGAATCAATCAATCATTTATATCAATAACAGTAATTGGAAGTTTATTTTGATACCGTACAACCGTTGCGGAACATATTCGGAATCAGGCTACATGCATCGAAAATTCGAAACATACTCGTCATTTATACATAACACATGCCAGCCATGTTTGAATGTCATGAAAATTGTTACCTTTGACGTGAAACGTTTCAAATTAATGAAATTTTATTAATTTTATAGTATTGCATACAACTTGAATACAAGCATGTAAGTAAAATATTACAAATTAATTATTGTATGACGTTTGTTTCACGGTTTTGATCATGCGAGTTGTAAAGTAGCGTAATAATTTTTAATTACATATACGCACACATACATAATATACTTTGTCATTATGCAATCACAAACGAGACTCAATCAAGATGTAGGTAAAATTTAGATTCATAAAACATGGCTAGGCTTTTTAAAAAGCACCCTTAAATTGTAAAATCTCCTTCAAATATCGTACTGAAAGGAAATCTAACCTAAAAATAAAGTCGTTTCACCTCTTTTAAAATGTAACCTGCATCGACATACGACTTTGTAGGTAAAGCAATTCAATCAAAGCAAACTTGTACTTCTTCATGCACCTTTCACTCGAAGGAAATAATATTATATGTGCAATATATACTTTTATCCTTGTATCGAGATGCTTTGAGGGTTTCGTGAGAAAATGGGTTCCACTGAAGATATCGTGTTTATGACAATATGCTGCAGCAGGATATTAAGGTCCTTGAATCATGCTCTGAATCAAAAGCTGTACTTTCCTTATAGAAAGACAGATAAATAAATGCATAACAGAACAAAAAAGGTTTCGTAATTTCTTTTATCATTTCGATAAAAAAATTAGGAATACCTATTTTAAAATTCGTACTCAAATCTACGTTAGAGGAGTTCTTTTATTTAGCACTCTTAATATTCCTCTACCAATCAGGATCATTAATTAACTTTGATATCAGTGTTCATATTATTGCCATTTGTGGGGGTCCAGAAAATATGAAATCTACATCAACACGACATCAGTTGAAGGGTGTTAAGTTGTATTTTTATCGCATCACGCGTTCACCCTTCGGGGTAATATTTAAAAGGTCTCGAGGTCGTTCGAATTAATTTCGGCCATAGCGAGGATAATTTCATTAGCCTGGGTAATCGGTACATTGCGGGGTCCGGGTGTACTCAGTATTTACGACTTAATATCGCGCGGACGTATTTATTCAGTTTACTTACTTGTTCTATTTCTCTTTACTGGTCCTTTAAAATATAAAGGGCATAAAACCATGAGTGATGGATATTAATCGTGTTATGGATGGCAGTCACTTCAAGTAAAATCCCCCTGAACCTTACCTTGACCCGAAAGACCAAAATTGAACTGAAGAAAAAACAAGAACATTTTGTAAAATTGATGATTTTTTGAAAGTGTAGTTACGTCACGCCTCGTTGTGTATAACATTATCCTTTTCATCTCATTTTCGTAAAACTCATCTGCCGTAATGACAAGTACCATCAAGTGACGTTAACAGCTGTAAGACGTCACTTTTGCAATGCCATAACACAGATATTTAATATCCAAAGCAATTTGCCTCATACGAAATGGTTTAACGTAACTAATTTTCGTAAACAGGTTTATGTTTTCACGGTTTCGAACGTTAAATAATAAAAAAAGAATACGGAATTAAGTTTCACGTTTTTCCTTAACCAGAAAATGTCATTTATTCGTATTTTCTTGATCAAATTTTTCCTGTATTCGAGAAACCGAATTTGGAGTCCAAATAAAAATTAGAGACATCAGATAAGTCAAAGACATTACCGTAATGAATCCAGTTACCAATTTCGTTGAGCAAGCATTGAAAATGCCTACACATCAGGAGTTTATTAACGTGACAAGTGAAGCGGCACATTAATAATAAGCTGTGCCATGGATTCCTCGGGGCGCCTAAATCTTAGCGCCGAACACTTCAATAATTAGCCGGTTATTCGCAGCAGTCGAGCATCGCGGCATGAATAAAACATCGTTTGCGAAACACAAGTGCCATTATAACGTCCAATCTAACATGACCTCCCGCCCCTTTCTTGTGCTGGCGGTGTAGAACAACTAAAGGGTTGAGGGGGTAATATTGGCAGGTCAAGGTGATTTGGTCATGATTTACGGGGCCTTCGAGTGCACGGGCCAAATCAAACAGGCACCGTGCAAATAAACGGTGACGTGGCTAACATCGACCGCTATTATCGATAGTGGGATTAATTACTATGCATTCCTTGCTTATATCCTTAAATGATACAGGAATATAATTCTGTAATAACTTAAGTAATATTAAGTATTATTGATAAGTAAATTGCTGCACATAAACATCGGGACGTACATGAAACATAAAATAGTAACGATTCTGATTGCAAAGTTTCCTTATGCGATGCCACTAATGACCCATGATTACGTAATAATATACCACAACTTCGTGGTCGGTGTTTTTGTTCGAAGCTGAACTATTCATTATGGAAAAAACTTGTATACTAACATAAAGAATTATAAAATAAACAATAAGTCTTTGTTTCAGTGTTTTTTAGAACTCCATAGTATAAAAGTGTTTTAACACATTAAACTGTCAAACACCAAGCGGTCACCGGTGACCGCAACCTATTGTTATATAATTGTGTCTATAATGACGGTACTCGACGAGTTAAACGCCATGGGAGCCACTGGTGACCGACGTCAATAGAGGAATTGCTTTCAACAGTTTTCTATTAGTAGTAGAAGACCTTAATTTATGTATTTATAGTACATACGAAATGAGTTAAGTTCTCTATAAAGGTTAATATAACGTCGCACGTTTTGAGTGAGTAGAGGTGCACTCAAGCCTATAATGTAACACCGATGTGTTTATAAGAACACAATCTAATCCAACCTGGCAAGCACTACCTCATACAAGTTCATTGCAATTCTGCGAAATGTTTAGCTAAAGCCAATAGTTCGTGTGTTAATTGTAAACTTCAGTCGAGCTGGTTGTACAGTAAAAGCGCTGTATATTATCGATAAAGTTTCGCTGTATCGACTCTTTCGTAATCGAATGCATCGTGCTCTGCAGCGAACGAGAACTGTTCGCGTTTGTATATGCACTTTATTGCACATATGAATGTAAAATATGCAAGTTAGTTTCTCGTATCGAAGGTAAATGTGTACAAGCTACACGTCAAACTATACAAAACTAGTTTAATATGGTCTCGCTTTGTGTAAACTTTCCATACATCTGTCGGTCAATTTATACTGGTTTAGTATAGTTAGATATGTAGCCAAATAACAATTGGTTTTAAAAGACTAACGAATGCAGTTACATGCTCATTCTTCTCCACCCGAATCTACTTTTTGGAACGAGCACCTAGCTCTACTGACGGACAGACTGGCAGACTATTATTTATTTTATATTTGTTGACGTTTCAAAAGTACCAAATTATGGTTTAATTGAAATAAGTTATTGAGTTTAAT